AGCAAGAGATGCAGAGAACTGCTTCTATCTCATAGGATGTTAGCATGGTATTCACAGTTTGGCCTACACTTCCTGCTTGTTCTATTTTCATTTAATGATGTACAGTTGGAGATCTCTTGTTGCTTTTGTGTGTCTATTATCGTGCCTCCCAATGGTATGGAGTTCCGAATGTAAGCTATTCCAGGCATAATACATGTTTGTATGATTTAAGAGACAAAAGCCCTAAGGTAAGGAAAGACCCAGGAGACCTAGATAAAAGTTTAGTAAGGAGAAGCAATAGCAGAAGCCTTAGCATAGCAATGTTCTCAGAGAGAAGAGAGGGCTATCAGTTAGATATCTGCAATGTTTATATAGTTTTGCAAGGTGTATTGGGGAATAAACTGGAAGAATTAGTGTTCCTAGTACAACTGAGGAATTAGGATTATAGAGATGTGATGAGATAGTTCACGTTACTGGAGTATGGTCCTAGATGGTCCTAATTCAGGAAGAACAGACAGGGGATAAAAGCTGTTTCCCTATATATAAAGAGGATGTAAATGTGTTCCAAGGTGGAAGGTAGGCTTGTTGAAAACCTCTGGGTGTAAAGGTCAGAGGCTAAAGCAGCAGATGGGATGTTATGGTGGGTGTCTGCTGTAGGCCACCAAACAAGAAAGAGGTGTATGAGGACTTCTTTAAAAATCTGATGGAAACTTCCAAACCATAAGACATGGTTCTCATGCGAGAATTTAATTATCAGGATATCTGTTGGGAGAGCAATAAAGCACTGCACAAACCAACACATTCTTGGAGTGAGTTGGAGATAGCTGTTTGATACAGATGATGGAGAAACCCCAAAGGGGGAAACACTTCTTGACTTGCTGCTCAAAAAAACAGGGAGGAATTGGTTGAGAATATGGAAGGTAACTTTGGAGACAGTGACCACAAAGTGATACAGTTCAAGGTTATAAGGGGAGGAAGGAAGTAGAGCAGCAGCGTAAGGACACTGGACTTCAGTAAAGCAGACTTTAACAAACTCATGGAACTAGTGGGCAGGATTCCCTGAGATACTCTGAGGGGAAAACGAATCTAGGACAGTTGGCTGTACTTTAAGGATGGCCTTTTAAGGGTGCAGGGGCAAGCTATCCCAATATAATAGAAGACCAGCAATCTTTTCAGTGAATTGAAACACAAAAAGGAACCCTATAGAGTGGAAACTCAGTCATATTATTAGGGAAGAGTATAAGAGTATTGCACAAACCTGTAGGGAAAAAATTAGGAAGGTCACTGCATGATTTGAGATGCAGCTATCAGAGGACATGGCAATAAAAAGGAATTTCACACAAGTATGTCAAAAGTAAGAAGAAGACCAGAGAAACCATAGGCCCCTTACATAATGCAGAAGATAACCTACTAAGAGATGATGCAGAGGCAGCTGAAATATTTAATGCCTTTTTTACTTCAGTCTTCACAAACAGGGGGAGCTACCAGATGACAAGCACAGTTGACAGCAAAGATAGGGAAAAAGCTTAGAGTAATGGCAAAACAGGTAAGGGATTACTTAGAGAAAGTGTATACTTTTAAGTGAACAGGGATGGATAGGATACATCCCAGGGTACCAAAGGAATTGGCTGATGTAATTTCAAGGCCACTAACTATCCTCTTTGCGAACTTGTGGAGGTCAGGTGAGGTCCTGGATAATTGGCAAAGGGCAAATATATCTTTAAGAAATGGAAGGAGGATGATCTAGGGAACTACAAACCAGTCTGACCTCAGTATTTGGAAAGATCATAAAGCAGGTCCTTAAGGAATTTATCATGAAACACCTAGAGGAGAACAAGGTGTTCAGAAACAGCCAGCATGGATTCACCAAGAGCAAGTTATGGCTGTCAACCTGATTTCCATCTATGATAAAGTGACAGTCTCTGTGGATGGGGGGAAGAGCAGTGGATGTGATGTAGCTTGACTTTAGCAGGGCTTTTGACACTGTCTCCCATTCTCATTGACAAGCTAAGGAAATACAGACTAAATGAAAGCACTGTAAGATGCATACATAATGGGATGGATCTTTGTACTCAATGAGTAGTCATCAGTGGCTACATGTCTAGTTGGGAGGAAGCACCAAGTGGGGTTCCCAAGGGGCCTGCCCTGGGTCCAGTGTTGTTTAATATCTTTATTAATGATTTGGATGATGGGATCAAGTGCACACTTAGCTAATTTGCAGATGACACAAAGGTGGGTGGAGTTGAAGACATATTGGAGGATAGGGCTAGGATCAAGAATGACCTAGATAGCCTAGAAAAATGGTCTGCAATCAACCAGAAGAAATTCAACAGACAAGCACAAAGTTCTGCACTTGGGATAGAATAATTGCATGCACAAATAGACTGGGCTAGGCTACAGTACTGCAGAGAAGGGCCTGGGGTTTGCAATAAACCGTAAGCTGAATATGAGCCAACTGTGCTCTTGTTGCAAAAATTGGCCACCAGTACATTGGATTATATTGATATGAGTGTCCCTTGCAAATCAAGGGAAGTGATCACCTGCTCTATTCAGCACTATTGAGATCTCACCCAGAGTCCACAGTATTGTGTCCAGTTTTGGGCCCCACACTTCAAGAAGGATGTAAAGAGGTTGGAAAGAATCCAATGGAGAGTGACAAAAATGATTTAGAGGGCTGGGAAGTATAGCTTATGAGGAAAGGCTGAAAGAATTAGGGTTTTTTTAGGCTGGGAAGAGAAGACTGAGGAGGGATTTGATAGGTCTTCAAATACCTGAAGTTGTTATAGAGAGGCTGGGGTTGGATTTTTCTCTGTGGCCATAGGAGCAGTGGCTTCAAACTGCAGCAGAGGAAATTTAGGTTGGAGATGAGGAGGAACTTTCTGAGCATGAAGGTGGTCAAGCATTGGAACAGGTTACCTAGAGAAGTTGTGGAGTCTTCATCCCTGGATATTTTCATGAGCATTTTGGACAGAAACTTGGCTGGGATGGTTTACTTAGGGGTGATCCTGCCTTGAGCAGGGAGATGGACTAGATGACCTGGTGAGGACCCTTCCAGCCCTACTTTTGTAAGATTGTGGGGCCTCAGTCTGGATTGATGATCCTGAGCTCAGTAGTAATAGATATGACTGAGTAATGTTTTGAGATGAGATGGCTAAATAAAGGCTGCAGGTTGTAATGGAAGATTCTCCCTTGACTCAAAACTCTGGCACAGATTTTTTCTCAGAAGTCTATTTAGCTAGCCTTTGAACACAAGTGTATAATTTGACACCATATAATATTTTTAAGTGACATTGTATGCTATTTTAGAAGCCAGCATAGATATTCCAAACTACAGCACAATTTCAGTGGTTCCATCTGTATTTAGTCTCAGTGCAGCGGAGATAGGACTGCAACTTATTAACACTTGTGAAGTTCTATTTTCAGAATCTTTCATTGGAAAATATAAATGCAAAGCTCAGCAAAATACAAGTTGAAAAGGTTATCTTTTATCTCTTTAAACCAATGGGAAAAATCCTAATCTAATTTGATTTGGATGAGGGTATCATATTTTTTGTCTCCCTACATTTAGAAAATGACTGTTCCTCATTTTTCCCCAGCTGTAAGTAATATGAGTTAAATAGCTCAGTGAAGCAACTATATTATTTACTAGTCAAAAAACATTACAAATGATTGAAGGGTTTTATAAAAGAGGTGGCTCAGAATTGTTCTCATTTGCTTCCAATTGAAAGTTTAATGCCTGTGCCATATGGAAGGGCTAATGCAAATATAAAAGGGAGAAGAACATTAAATAAATACTGTTTTTGTACAAACTTAATTTTTCTATTTGCCTTAGGGAAAGATTTAAAGAAGGAGGTGTGGATGCCTGATTTTAGGTGATTTTTAAGGGGTGTGGTTTTCTGAATGTACCTGCCACCCAACAAACAATCATGTATCTTTAAAACAATTGTCATTTAAAAAAATTCCGGATGGCGTTTCAAATTTAAAAATAGGAAAGTTGATAATAAATTAGACTGATATTGCTGACTTAAAATCTACTCAATTAAAAAAAGAAGCCTTAAAAAAGATAAGCCCATCTGTGAGCCATCCTGCCAATTTTTTTGTGGTTTTACAATCACATTTTCCTGTTTCAATCCTCGTTTCTGTTTGGGAGGCCTGCATTGCCTAGGGGCTGAATTCAAGGAAGCTGTTAAGCACAAGCTTAACTTTGAACATGTGCTTAGTCTCATTAGTTTTGGTGGTACATAGGCCCCTGTTTAGGCACAGTGCTTAACAGGGTAGAGGGTAGAATAATTCTTCAAGCTGCTTTCATTTATGTTAACATTACTGATCTTTGTAACAACATTATGTGTAACAAAATATGACACTATGTGACAAGTATTATTTGACAAAACAAAGCAAAATACATGACAAATAAACTGAATTTTATTTTGAAATAGAAAGTATGCTTTTAAAATGATTGGATTCACAATATTCTACACAAGTCACATGGAGAAATAAGACATGCATAGATTCCTTCAGCTATTTAGCAAAACATATGACACCCCATACTGCTCATGGTATCTTTATGATGAGTGTGGTTTCTGCTTGGGTAATTTTTAGGTTGTTTGTAAACTTTATGATGAAAAAGTATATAAAATATGGACATACAAAAAACTATTAACATCCCTAGGTGTAATTTTCCACCTTGGTTTTTCCACTTTAAAGTAAATAGAAAGATCATGGCATGGGCTAGGAGAACCCCAGGAATAACAGAACCAGAGCTTTCTGTGGTCCTAACTCAAATGCAAAAGGAAAGAAAGTTGAACATTGTGAATCCAATCTGTGGATCAAGGGGAAGTTTGGTGACAGCGACCATGAATTGGTCACCTTCTTACTTCACTGAAGAGCAGGCAAACCCCTCAGTAAAACAAAGTCCTTAACTTTGGGAAAGCTGACTTTTGCAAACTGAGAGAATTGGCCAGTCAGGCAACTGGAGGCCATACCCCCCAGAAAAGGGAGTACATGAGGAATGGTCATCTGTCAAAAACATAATCCTTGAAGCACAGGGCAAAGCTATACCATCTCACAAGAAATGAACTCAACGGGCAAGGAAGGCCCCATCGCTGAATAAGGAACCGTTGGACCTCATTCAGCTCAAAAGACTAGCCTACACCAGCTGGAAAATGGGAAGCATTACCAAAGAGGATTACTCTGCACTCACCCGCACCTGTAGAGAGTGGTCGAGAAAAGCCAACGCGCAAACCAAACTTAGGCTAGCTACGGAAATCAAGAACAACAAAAAGTCCTCCTTCAGATACATGGGAAGTCAGAAAAAGAAAAAGGATAGTGTTGGCCCTTTCTTGGGCATTGGATGTCAGTTGCCCCATTGGGTCTCTCAGGGGCCCAATCTCCTAAATTACATTTTTGCATTGGTTTTGCATCATTGACTCCAAGATGAACATGCGCCGGCAGTGTGGGAAGGCAGTTAGGAAGGCCAACCGCACCTTGTCATGCATCCACAGATGCATCTCAAGCAGGTCCAAAGAGGTGATCCTCCCCCTCTATGCAGCACTGGTCAGACCGCAGTTGGAGTACTGCATCCAGTTCTGGG